TTTCACCTAACCATGTGCTTTCGCGCCACTGTGCATGGGCGCACTTGTTTCACAAGTCAAGAGGCTGGCGCGCGCTACTGCAAGCGCAAAGTAAAGTAAAGTAAAGTAAAAATTATGACATAACATCATCACTAATGTCTACAAAGTATCATCACACTACATGGAAAAATAACTATTTCTCCATCAAATTTAAAGGTAATAATTTATCAAATATTAATCATGAATAAAAACAACATTACAAAATTTAATTTATTCATACCTCCCAGTGGAGTAAAGATTTATAAAACGTTTCTTTGCTACATAAGGATGGAACCACAGATAATCATTGTGTTTTTCCTTATTACTGATATAACTGGTACCTTCAATTCTTGTTAAAACTTCTTTCGAAACATTCCAAAAATGAAAGTCATTTACAATACATTTAGAAATCATATTCTTTTTAAAACTTTCCAATCCAATTTTAAAACTCAAAACTGTCAAGCAGTTCTTCACCTCCGAAGGGAGTTTGTTCCAATAAGGAACAACCCGCTCTGGAAGAAAAGAACACTGAAGATTCTTGACCTTTGTCACACTCTTACTACATCTATTGGATGAAACCAGATTAAGACCTGATCTGCTTGGTCTGAACAAGTCTGAACCATAATCAGTCAAGCCATTAATAACCTTAAAAGCTTCAATAAGGTCCCCACGTATTCGCCGCTCTGCCAGCGTTGTCAAATTAAGGATTTCCAGTCTACGGCTGTAAGGAAGAGTACCCACCTCATCAATCAGACGGGTAAACCGCCTCTGGACGCTCTCCAGCTCCAAAACAGTCCCCCAACTTCCATGAGCCGCAACTGGATTCCACAATTGGACACAATACTCTAGATGAGGTCTTATCAAAGCTTTATAGATGGCTATCATTACACATTTTTCTCTAATTATCAAATTCCTTACAATCCAGCAAATCATACGATTTGCCTTGGAAATACATGCTTTTATCTCTTCATTCCAAAGCAGGGAACTATGGGTAATAACCCCCAAATCTTTTTCCTGATCAGATACTTCAAGTTCTACGCCATTTACTAAATAATTTAGGTTAGGGTTGCTATTAAGATTAATATGAACAACTTTACATTTAGCAGGATTAAACTTCAAAAGCCAAATACTCTCCCAGACTTCCAGTTCTACAACACTGCTGTGGTTAGCTGCATTACCAATCAACTTGAGGTCATCTGCAAATAATTCAATCTTATTCTTGACCATATCAGGTAAATCATTAATATAAAGAATATATATATAAAGAATATATAATATAAGGAATAAATAGCAAAGGACCCAATACTGACCCCTGGGGAACACCAGATAACACGTGTTTCACCTCAGACCATTGTCCTTCTACACAAACCCTCATGGTTCTGTCTGTAAGAAAATCTTGAATAACATCTAAAACTTTTCCTTTGACCCCAAACCCCTCCAATTTAGATAAAAGCCTAAAGTGGGGGACAGTGTCAAAGGCCTTACTAAAATCAAAATACAGTAGATCAACAGGATCACCTTCATCTGAAATATCAAGAATATTATCAAATGTCTCTAAAAGATTAGATAAGCAAGATTTGCCCTTAACAAATCCATGCTGATGCTTTGATATTCGTTCTTCTAAAAAATCCAATAAATGTGCCCTCACCAACTTTTCGTACACTTTGCACAAAATACAAGTTAAGGAAACTGGTCTATAGTTTAAGGGATCTGATTTAACACCCTTTTTAAACAATGCTACAACGGATGCTGACTTCCACACTTCAGGAAGAGATCCCGTTTCTGAACACATTTTAAATAATTTAGTGACTGCTTCTACAAAGTTGTCATCATAAGCTAACAATTTTAATAACTTTGGATGAACACCATCCGGACCTGAACTCTTAAAATATTAAGCTTTAAAAGTTGCTTCTTAATATCAGCACTGCTAACTTGCAAATCACTAATAACATCTTTATCATAATCCAAAGTGTCATTTTTAGGAAGAGGGCCAGGTGGCTCACACACAAACACTGAGCTGAAGGCACTTGCAAGTACTTCAGCAGACTCAGCAGAACTATCTGTGCGTGTACCATCTCCTCTATCCAAGGAAACCACACTTGATTTTACTTGCCTTTTGTTACGTAAATATGAGTAAAAAGACTTGTAGCGCGATGCATTACTGTGCCGCGCCGCGCACTCAATGAGGCTTCTCACAGCGACTACTGTGCCGCGCCGAGCTGCCATGAATTGACATCGTCAATTAATAAAAAGACTTACTATTCTGCTTTAAATTAGATGTAATCTTCTTTTTATAGTTAACTTTAGCTTTAACTTCAGCCACTTCAAAAATATGTTGCTTGCTATTAACATAACTAAAATTGATTACAGATGGATTTCTATCAAACCCAGCCCATGCTTTGTCCTTATTCTTCCTCATTCTCTTAAGTGAAGTTGCAAGGGCTCTGGATAGAGCAAGACACCTCCAAAAGTATATTATATATCTATTTTCTGTGTAGTGTCCACTACTAACAGTGTCATGATCTAATTTGCTCCATATGCATCCTTCACAGCATCTTTTGTAGTTGGAGGACTTCGCCGCTTCGACGCGCCGCGCAAACTAGCATTTTTGCTTCGCATCGTTGCTCTGCTTCACCGAGCAACGATCTGGAAGGGTTGACATCGTCAGTCAACTTTTGTAGTCTCTTATATTATAAATATGTATTCATAAATCGCCAGGTTGCAGGTATAAAATTGCTCTAACCAGAGTCCTCTCGCTTGCAGTAGCGCGCGAAACAAGCGCGTCACGCAGTACGCGTATACACATCACACATGGCTATGTGAAGGTATAAAATGAAACTTTATTTATTTGATTACTATGCGCTGGGTTGTAGCGCGATGCGTTACTGTGCCGCGCCGCGCACTCAATGAGGCTTCTCTCTAGATCGGCGAGATGCGCTACTGTGCCGCGCCGAGCTGAGATGAATTGACATCGTCAATTAATGCGCTGGGCTGATTAATGTTAACTTTTAGTCTGTCCCTGTTGCGCACTATTTTTATAACTATAAATATATATAACTATAAACTATAATAAGCTTATCTCTACTATAATTCAGAGAATTGTTTTTGTTGTATGTATGTACGACCGCCCACGTGCAAATTAGATGAAAAATAGGAATTTAGGTAACAACCAAAAGTTTCCATAGCAACGGTGTTTTAATGCACACATGCACGTGCAAAGATTGTTTTAACGTCATTTTGATCGGTTTTGTGGTAATTACGTTTTTTCAAAGAATACTACTAGCTTCGTCCCTGTTACCACGGGCTTTCTTCGTCCCTGTTACCACGGGCTTAAAAAGATCATGCATGGGACAATTTTGAAAAACTTAACTGAGGTACTAGCAAAACTGTGCGTTTTGCTTTAGAAATTGCTTTATCTTGACGGATGTAACTTTTCTAAATTTCTTCGAAGTAGCGCGCGCCGGGCCAGACCATTAACAATGGTCAATATTTAATAGCATTAAAAAACTTTGTAAAATGGGGATGACCATATTAAAGTATATTTAGTACTTAGGGTGATACTAGTAGAATATTTGTTTCAAATATTCAAGCATCAAGACCGTCGACGAATCCAATTACTAATTACATGTTATTTGGCACGCCAATCAAGCTGTTATGTGTGCGGCGCTCTTTTGATCGCGAGCCTCTTTTGCTACACGTTGTAATGAGCAAGCCTCTCTCGTGCACTTTGACTTAACGGGTGATGTTCGTAAAATATTTTCGGCGTGCATTCCGGTTTATTACAAATGACCCAGCTCTAGCAAGGGCCTTCGATGTCTTACTGGGCGGCGCTCCGCCTGTCATTCCGCCTAAGGCGCACGTTATATCTCCGCCAAAAGCACATCCAATTTGATATGTATGAAATATGTCTATAAATTCCTTGATTATGCACTAAGTTGGCGTTCTCCGACCAAAATTGAACGGGGAATCGTTTAAGATCACTTTCGAGGCACCTCGACAAAGCTTCTCACGCTATTATATATATTCACTATTGTGCTGTTTATGGAGAAATACGTCTATAGCGGTTTTGAGTTTGTTATTCTCTTTCAAAAGTATTCCAAGTGATTTGTATACGTGCATATATTAACTCTGAATTGTGAATACATTGCAAAATAATTTATGTCGATTCATGAAGTTTGAAAGAAGTTACAGCAATGCGCGCAATTTGGGGAGTGTGCTTTTGGCGGAGATATAAACTTCGCCTTCCGCCTAATCTCTATTAGTGTTTGTGAACATGATAGCCTGAGGTCCCCAGGTACGTAACCGATGTCAAGTTAGAGGCTAGTGAGTTTGGCTATCAATCTGAGAAAATTTGTGAAAGATCCATTCTTTGGCCTGGAGAACCATACCTACTATGGATTATTAGAAGGACTATTAATAAACATATTTTCTGTAATTTGTGGATCACCTGGTGTAATATTGTGTAAACATTTTACATTAAATACTGTAATACGTAGTGCAAGTTGAGTGCACTTAATGAACCTTTCAACTTCCATATTTGTTACAAATCGCAAATGTCCTTTAAAAAATATACATATTAAATATAACATAATTTATACTCATAGAATAATTTATTTATATTGTTCAAGATTGCAGAGGGGTGAGCTAAAGCCAGGATTGACAATGATTTATTCTGAAATGAAATATAATCATAAAACAGTCAAATGTTGAAGAGCGAGTGCTCATCATCCCCCGAAATTCCGACGTTTATCACTTAATAAATAAATACATCTCGTGGACAAGTATTAAAATAAATAACAGCCATCTGAAAATTTTGTGAAAATTATTTTAATTCAAATATCATTTTCACGTAAATATATATTTATCATTATTTTATATTTTATATAAATCAAATAATTTAATATAACATTCAGTATGTCATAATATGATAATCTGTGGCGTCATCAGCAATCAGTCGCGGCACAAAGTGGCCCATTCAATAACTTAGTTCTCAAGCCACCAGTCTCAATCTATAATATCTAAACAAGTTAATGTTTTCGGGAATAAAAATTCTCTGTGATCACCAAAGAGTATGATAATAATAAACTCAACGGTTCAAACTTTCATAACTCAGAGAGTATTAATGAAGAGGAAAGATATCTTGCTTTTACACGATTCACACAGATGATCTGTGTGACAGATCTGCCATGATAATACATCTTATACTTCTGTCAGACACGGGCACGATCACATATGTCAGTTGTAGGAATCTCGGCGTAACCAGGACGACGTGGTGCCGCGCGCAGTACGTTGTCTTGGTTACGAGGCTGATCAGGAGCAATACCACGTGTCAACATATCTTCCATCAGCACCTCCTCGTACGTGGGGATATCTTGATCCTGGGGTTGGTTGGTTTAGTGAATACTGAGCAGTGATTGGTTGCTGTAGATAAAAGATTATGATAAATTATGAATAGGTGCAAAAATTAAAAAATACAAACCATGGCAGGAACGCAAGGCTTGAATCTCCTATCAAGGGCCCGAGGCAGCACTCCGTGATCCAGTCTGAAGAATAATTAACATATAACATTAAAGTTGAACTAAAACCCACAAAAAGAAAACGTAGTTTCACCAACTGAGCTAGAAGTAGAACCCACAAAAATAAAATGTCGTACCTGACATGAGGCTGGTTGTTGGTGTTTTCTCTGTAGCGACGTGAACACTTGAAGAGGAGGACAACTATGATAATGAGGAGAACGAAGGAGACACTGAGGACAACGTACAAAACCCAGCTTTGTATACCAGCTATCAGGGGGTAATTGTCAGGGGTAAATATCAGGGTTAATTATCAACTTGAACTCTGTGATTCACGCAAAAAAGCACTTTAGTAACCCCCTAAACAACAAATTACCTGACGGTGCCTGAGGTGATCCGATAGCTTCAGTACGATCAGGATGAAATTGCAGGTGACTTTGAACGATGAACAATTCAGAAGCGCGTACTATGTCGTAATCAACTATGTAGTTGCGGATTTTAGATGCTATCTTAGAGCTCTCGTACCCAGCACCTTCTATTCCGTCTGAAAGTTTACTGAACTGAGTAGGGGCCGGGTGGGGGGGGGGGGGGGGGGGGTAGAATAGGTACGCACACTATTTTCTTCAGAAAAGCTATCTTCTCAACATCCTCCCAATATGATAAGTTTAAAGTAACTATAGCAACAAGCTGTCACGTCTCCACCTCAGCCCCCATTCCCCATATTAGTACTAAATATGAATCTATTGTATTAAGTACTAAGTATTGTAACGAATCTTTTGAACTTTTCTCCCATCTTTAAATGTTTTAAAAGCTTGGTGCTCACCGCTCACGCCAAGCTTTTGTCCCCCTAAGTATTTAAATACTGAAAAATAAGTATATATTCAGACGACACCTCCAAAAGTCTATATTTCTTTCGTAGGGTGCCCAACTAACAATGTCATGATCTGATTTGCTGCATGTGCATCCTTCACAGCATCTTTTGTAGTTTATATTATAAATATGGGGTCGTTTACATATTACGCAATCAATATTTCAGCAATTCCCCCCTCCCCCCTCCTTAATCAACCGTAACTAAGACCCAACCTCCCCCCCCCCCCCCCCCTTTGACTTTTTCTCTGGAAATCATATTTATTTACGTTTCATGCTACCCTCCCTAATCATGATAAGCCGAAATCATTGTTATGATATCCGGCCAAGCACCTTTCAAACTACTTACTTTAGCAGCCGGTTGTAGTAGGGGGGTCAATGACATAGAATGGAGAATTCTATGCCGTTTTAGAATTAAAAAATTGTAAAAACCCAAGTTTTTACAAAATTTCGACCTAGTAAAGCAGGATGATGATTAATCAATCTACACTCAACTGTCACGACGTCACGTTACTTTTTAAACCTTCAACAATTTTCCAGCTCGAACACAAGGGTCCCCCTGCCCCTTGTATGTTGTATACATTTTGTAAAATTTGTAAAAAAATCTGTTTTTCAAATATTTTAAATTTGGTACTACGTTTTGCTTTTCCAAGCTGAAAAAAATACAGTAAAATATTTCCGAAATTCAAAAGTCTCCGAAATTCATAAGTTTTCATGTTTTCTATCTAGATTTCGGAGTCCCCCCCTCACCCTCGATATACGATCTTGGAGTCGAGGCTCCCCTTTGTAATTCGATCTCGGAGGGCAGGTCTCCCCTATGCAATGCGAGTTTGGAAGCTGGGAGACTGCCTTTCAATGTACGCATCGAGAATGACTCGGGCCGAAAATTTCCTGGAAACTACTTTTATCCACATAACAGTTCATCTCACCCTGATCATTAATTAGTCAAACACATTTTTCAGGACCTAGCCCTCGAGAATTTTTCCTGAAAATTAATGATTGATATCCGTCCAACCACCTTCTAAACTACTTGCTATAGTCGGATATCCGATTAATCTCTAAATTTTATCACTATCACAGTGAAATTGAATTAAAATATTGTCAAATTGAATTTAATTGTTATTATCCTATCCCCCCCCCCCCCCCGTAATCAACCGTAAGCATTTGGAAACCCCCTCCCCCTTCGGCTGATTACGTAATATTTGAACGACCCCTATGTATCCATAAATTGCCAGGTATAAAGTGCAAGTGCGCGTTGCCATGTAGAATTGTTGTTCATGAGCATCTGAATCGGTAAATTGCTTTTTATTGCAACATAGTCTCCATTTATAACTATACTAGAAACAGAATTAGGATCACTAGTCACTACTAAACTTAGTAACCAAACTGTCAGTCTCTGCTTGATCAGATGGTTATTGATATTAATTTAATGTCATTTAATGTATAGTAATTTAATGTTTAATTTAATTTAAATTAAAGTTTTTTGTTTAAGATTTGATATTATTACAAATACCTGCAGTTCAGGAGGGAATGTTCTATACGGTAATTGTTGTGATGATTCTAATAAAGTATGGGCAATTAGAAGAGCCCCAAAACAGACACCCAAAGCACAATGAAGCTGGAGCCTCCAGATCCGGCAATTCTAAGAACCCGACAACAAATTCGGATCACTGTTACGAGTTCTACACGGCTGACGTATCTCGCAAATTATCGTTTGGTGAGGTGATCACAAATGTCTGTGCTGAAAGTGTGACTGCTTGCAAGATGTACTGTTGGTATCACAAAACCTGCTGCTCATTTACTTTTGACTCAACAACATCAAATTGCAGCATTTACGACCACTTTCCCCTTCATAATTCATCATCTCAAGGAAATCATTCATCTTTTGATGTTCAAGGAAACATTGAATGCTTGATGAATTTTGAGGAAAGTCCATCGGTGCCATGCAGGACAATCAAAAGCGCAACAACAACAAATAAGGATTCAAAGGGAGTTTTGATGAAGAACGTGAACAGTAGACTGTGCTTGGGGTTTGGGAAATTGATGGAGTTGAACTGGAAAGATTGCACATCAGCTATCCCATGGCTATTTGAGAAAAGACTAAATGAAAATGGGAATAAGACCAGATTTAAAATTTACCAAGCAAATTCTCTCAACAACTGTTTAGAAGCGGACGTAACACACCATTCCAGCAGCAAAGTGGCTTCTTTAGCTCTCTGCCAAGAAGATAATGTGAATCAGCTCTTTGAAATCATCAGAGGAACAATATTCCAGTTATCTAGCGTGTTAGATCCCATTGATTCAGAAAACAACAACAATTGCTTCTTCTCGATAACAAGTCTGGATAGGTACGTCTACCCTGGGACCTCAAATATCCGCTTAAGCAACCTGAGACTTCTGTTCCCTGAGGAGCACCTTGCCTTGTGTCGAAGAAATAAGTTCAAGGTTGCTAATGGAAACGTTGAAGGTAGACTACCACTATACTTACCGGGCAGCAACATCTCAGTCAAATGCAAACCAGGGTACGGCTTCAAAGAGTTTTACTTCCAATCTACTTTGAATATCACGTGTCAAAATGAAAAGACACATGGTTTGAAGTGTGTTGAACGCGATGCAAAGCCAGGAGAGGCGAGTCCGTTGAAAACGATATTGGTTTGTGGTAACGTCGGTCAAGCTGTGATTATCATGCTCTTGCTTGTCTTGGTTATTGTGTTGGCGAAAAAGATAAGTGCATTGAAGGCTGGCCACAGCTCTGATGTGGAAATGAAAAGACAAAATATGAACACTTAATAAAGTCCTTGCTGAACAATTAATCTATTATAGAAACGTTATAAATTTCCACCTGGAATATGGAATCTGGACATTTAGCCCCACAAACATTCTACACACAAGAATTTAAAGAATGCTCTGAGCCCAGTGTTATGAGCTACATAGGGGGGGGTCCACGTTAAAAAAAGTTAAAAAAGTTAAACTAATTAATGTTAAATTTCAAAATTCAGGCTTAGAAAGTTTAACTTTTTTAACATAAATTCAAATTTGGGTTGACATTGCAATGGAGTGAATATTCTAGACTAGTTTACTTTTAGGTCATGCGTTGGTATTTTTGTTCATTAGTCATTACATGTAGGAATATAGGAATGCCCATGACAAGAGTAAAACAGTCATATAACATAGGTACAACCGATAAATATTTGATACATTTGATCATTACAATAATAAATTATAATTCATAGAAATATAAACAGCTGATTCATAAATAATTTCAAAAAAACAACAGATTCCATTCACAGTGTCAACACTGAAAATAGGGCTATGATAATCTATATCATTAAATCTAGTGTTACTAATCGTAATGAATTAATAACTGAATAAAATTCTAATGATGTTTCATAAAAGTTATCGCTTAAACAAAGAGTCACTGTGTCACGATATTATATTACAAAATTTAAAATAGTGTCTAATGATATTTCATAAAAGTTATCGCTCAAACAATGAGTCAATTTGTCACGATATTATATTACAAAGTTAAAAAGAGTCACGTCTAATGATGTTTCAATGTAAAAGTTATCGCTCAAACAATTTGTCAATATAATAATAAATAATAATAAAATTTGGTAGCTTAAACACAAACTCTAAGCCCAGTGGATAAACCACAAAACTTATGCTCTATTGTGTGAAACAAAGATACTAGATCAAGATAACTATCAAGGAGTGTATGCATAGGACATAAAAAGTTTTGGAACGAAGATGACATGCTTATGAAGCGAGCTAACAGTCTAATTGCTAATAAGTTCAAAAATATCATGACATTAGGTTGCATCCTAAACAGTTTAAGCAAATAACATAAAGTTAAATTGTCAATTAATCGCTCATGCCATAACTTTTCTTAAACAGGTGAGTTTTTAATAATGTTTTGAACAGATCAACATCAGAACAAGTCTTAATTTCAATTGGTAGTTGGTTCCAGATTTTCGGAGCAACAGTCTGAAACGCTCTTGGGTGCGATCTTGTAGATCCGACAGGTAGGTGTAAGGAGGAAGTTCTTCTGCTACTCGAACTAACAAATGTTACTAGATCACACAGATATGCAGGAGCAACACCATTGACTGCTTTGAAAATCAGTAAACATAACTTAAACTCAATCCTTTCCTTCACCTTGAGCCAATGAAGGGATTTGAGCTTCTCGTCGACTGAGTCTCTCTTCTTTAATCCAAAAACCAGACGCCATGCTCGGTTCTGAATGTTCTGCAGCTGCGTAATTGAGGCTTGACTACAACCATAGTAAAGCGCATTGCAGTAGTCAAGCGATGAGATTACAATTGCTTGAGTCAGTGTTCCCATCTGTTTGGTTGTGAGGAATGTTTTCATCTTAGCAAGGTCTCTTAGTTTCAGAAAACACGATGTTTTAAGTTGCTTGATTTGCTCACCAAAGTTTAGTTGAGAGTCGAGACGAAATAATATATTATATTACAAAATTAAAAAACAGTGTCAATGAAGTAAAAATTTTACAGGTGTTACTGTAATAACGTAAATAAAAGAACTTGAGGTTCTAATTTGAAGTTATATCATTTAACCTGAACATAAAAGTCTATCATTAAAATAATTTTCACTATAGTGCAGCCGAGTCCTTATCGTCGTTCATATATTTTAGAACTTCACTTGTAATACGATTAACATCATACGGTTGAGGAATCTTCATTATATCACGACATACATCATTATTCAGTAATGAAAATATATGTTCCTCAATAATCTCTTCCTCGGACATTCCTGATGTCCCAAGACTAGGGAGGCTACCTCTTATGGCCAAACAACTGGCTAAAAAAAGCACAAATCCTTCAGTACTGATCCTGAGATCGCTGAACTGTCACTTGAACGCAAGCAGCTGATGATTGCGAATATGCAGAACAAATTCCCGACCAACAGGAAGCATGTCAAGACCAACATCAACCAGCTGAGACGTAAGATTACAAAGAGACTCAGAGATTTCAACAACCGCAGTGCTGACACACTCGTCGAAGAGGTAAACAACACAGACGACGCCCGGAGATACTTTGGAGCCTCTAAGATACTCGCCAAAGGATATGTTAGACCAGCTCTAACCGTCCACAACCCTGCTGGGAATATCGCAGGTACTAATGAGGAGAAAGCGAGGATTATTAAGGAGTACTTTGAAGCTGAGTTCAACGACGCTGATGAGCCTACCCTTCCTGCCTTCCTTGACCCCCCATCTAGCCTTAACAGTCCCATCACCGTTGCAGAGATAGAGAGAGCCATCAGTAAACTCAAGTCTGGTAAAGCAGTGGGTATTGATAAAGTTCCTGGCGAGGTCATGAAAGCCCTGAACAACCCTCTCCTTCATGAAGAGCTGGCTAATGTGTTCAACGAGTCTTTCAAGAAAAACATTCACATTGAAGCAATAGGAGCAGGCATCCTCACACCACTGGCTAAGCCTGGTAAAACTCGTGGCCCAATTAAGTCGATACGACCATTGCAATTGACCCTGCTGAATGTTTCTAGAAAGATCCTGTCACTGATAGTGCTAAACAGAATAGAGAGAGCTGTGGACAACTTCACCGGACCGTTCCAAGCTGCCTACAAAGCTGGCAGGAGCTGTGCCGACCTAGTTTGGGCACAGAGCATGCTCATATCTGTAGTAATGAAGAAGGAGTTTGAATGGAACAAAGTGAGTATCGACATGTCAGCTGCCTTCAATACCATCCGCAGAGGTACAACAATCAGACTACTAGAAGCTGCAGGATGCTCCAGAGACGACCTGAGGCTTGTACAATACCTCATGGCTAACACCACTCTAGTAGTCAGAGTGTGTTCTACTGACTCAGAGATGTTCTCTTTCAACATAGGAGCCTCCCAAGGAGACAGCACAGCTGGTAAATTGTTTACCCTCAATCTAGCTGGAGCTGTAGTGTACATAAGAGCAGTCCTCCCCTCAAGACCCAACCCTCCGATAGCCGATAACCACATGCCTCTTGAGTCCGGCTATTCAGACGATTTAGAGGAGATTGGTGAAGATATGGAGGAGTTACAGGATATCTTTCAGATCTCCAATAATATTCTCAGTGAATGGAGTCTCTTTGTCAATGACACAAAGACAAAGTTTACCAGAGTGTATTTAGAAGAAGTTGGTGCCTGTGACGAGTGGGATAATAGGATAATGAACTAAGAGGAAAAGAGGAGTGGAGAAACGAGACGCTTCTTGGTACTAAGCTTGGATCAGAGCAGGATGTTACTAATAGAATAAATAAAGCTAACTCTGCCTTCTGGTCATTTGACAAGCTGTGGTGCCAGGGATCAGAGAGGAGTCAGATAACTGAGAAGAGAAAGATCAAACTCTACGACTCACTAGTAGTATCAGTGCTCCTGTACAACTGCTGCTGCTGGGCCGTACCTCAGCATGTTCTAGAGTCTGTAGATGTTCTTCAGAGGAAGCACCTCAAGCGCATCCTACACATATATTGGCCTAGCTCAATATCTAACAAGGCCCTCTACGCTCGTACCCAGACCAGGCCCCTTTCCGAGAGAGTGGAAAAGGCACGGTGGACAATGCTAGGTCATGTTCTACGCAGTGACAACGACACACCTGCCTACCAGTCTCTGTTATTTGCTACACTAGGATGTCAAACACTAAAGGGACGAGTGGGTAGACACAGGACTAACTTGTATGATATTATTGTGAAAAAGGACCTATTTAAGAGACAAATTTATTTAAAAAATGAAGATGATTTTACCAACTTAGTGAACTTAGCAAGAGATAGAGTAGGATGGAGGAGTTTATTTACTTTGAGACATATTGAACGAATGAGTCTTCGTAAGCGTAAATAGGCCAGCACTTTGCTGAGTCTCTTTAGGTGCTCTTTTGTTTATAGATGTTATTATATTATATAACTGGCTAAATGGCTCTTTAGATTATGAGAGCATCTATGTTTTGAAACAGAACTTCGATCTGGTTGTTTCACTTTCACACACCCCAATAGGTTCTTTACCTGCTTTAAGACTTCAGGGACTTCATTTTCAATATCTTCCGCGCTATCAATTACATTTAGATATTTCTTTGAATCCTGATTATTTTTTATTTCATTCAACGATCTATGCACAAGTTCCTCATCGTCACAACTTTTCAAATTGCTTGGACCTAGTGATCTAGTTAACTCTAGCATTACCGCAATGTGGGAAATAAAGGCAAAAGAATACTTCCCTGTCTCATTTGCATGGACATAATTAGTAGACAGCTTTCCTTGTATTTTTGGAATAGATTGAATAGTTTCCGATGACAAGATTGGTTTCACTCTAGCTATTGGGCATGGCTGATGCACAGTATTCTGCACCACATCATCTGTACTCTTTGTTCCATTCTGACATTCCGGGGTAGGTAAAATACTCATCATCCGACGACGTCTTTTCTTAGATTTTAGTCTTAATACCCGCTCCATGGATCGCACAATTGATAACGTAGGACACCTGGATTTTTTTCCTCCGAAAATATTGTATATATTCTGTAGGCAAGCTTCCTCTAAAAAACACCCAAGTCTGAATAAAACCCGTTGAATTGCTTTGGCCTTGATAATCTGGCCAGGAACCATGTCGTTACACTTCCACAATTCAATTTCAAAATTCGTCCTGACCGTGCATCTATCTTTAATCGTAATTTCGGCATCGAGCGCCTTTCTTCCGGATTTCTCCTTACAAAGTTTGTTTTTCGGCGTGGAAGTGCCATCTTCTGTGGCGAATCTTGTAGATGGTTGGTTTAAAACAGTCTCTTTCTTCGCAATCACAGGCTTATCACCTTTTCCATCGTGTACTGGCAGTCTAATTGTACTCAGAGAACTTGTTGGAGGAGTATTTCTAGAGTTCAATTTGTCCCGATTTCCCTGCTGATTCTCATTCTTGATTGCAGTTCCACCTTCAATGAGTCGTGTAGACAACTTGTTAAGTGCTGTTTCCTTCTTTGAATTTAACACTTTCTTGCTGCTGTTTATCTTATCAACATCAATTGGTCGTCCAATTGTGAATTTAGAATTGTCTACTGTGGGAGTTCTCGTGGTTAAATTATCAGTGTTAGCCCGCAAATGCTCCTTCTTCTTCAGACCCGTCGATGAAGATTTATCCATAATCGTCAATTTGCTTTGCACCGTCGGTTTCTTAATCTTTGGAATCCTAAAAGTAGGGACAACTCTCCTCTTGAATGAGTTGCTTGTTATTATCGCAGTAGTGATAACATCAGCAGATGATTCGTCTTCAGAATCATATTGAGTTCTAGGTTTTGATGAATCAGCAGCCCTTTTTGAAGTGTTGACAACAACTGATACGTCCTCAGTAGATGGTTCGGGTACAGGGATTACAGCTGGAGGAAGCTCCGGAGTATCAATACCTGATGATGTGTCCTCAGTAGATGGTTCGGGTACAGGGATTACAGCTACAGGAACCCTTCAAGCGAATGAGCGACTCTCCTGATGCCTTCGCTAAATTGCAACGTAAACATCTGTCGTATGTGAGACTTTCCATAACCCTTCCGCACTTACACCGCCAAGCCATATTCTTTTTTCGTATTATATGAATGATTATATTAGTAAATTATACAATTATGTGTATATATATATATATAGATACAAGGTGTTTTTTTTGTAGAGTTATCAAATCAGTTACAACTACAGAAAACAATTGCAAGAGCGAGGTACTACTAGTACTAAAGGTCAACACTCATAATTGAGTTTAATTTGGGTAATTATGTTAAAATTTGAACCGATTAGTCAGCCAAAATCTGATTTTTAATTTATGTTAAAAAAGTTAAAAAAGTTAAAGTAATTAATGTTAAATTCCAAAATCTCGATCTTAGAATTTAACTTTTTTAACGTGGACCCCCCCCTACATAGGCAATAGGGATCGTTCACATATTATGTAATCACTTTTTGAACAATTTGTTACCCCCCTCCCCCCCTCCGTAATCACTTTTACACATTGCTATTGTGTCAAAATTACACTAGCGTAATCATTTTGAAACCCCCTCCCCCCTCGTCTGATTACGTAATATGTGAACGACCCCATATATAGCAGCAATAGGCTGTATTATCGTAGTTTTTACGCTTTTTACTTCATTGCCAACAGACATGCTATTACGAAACAATACATATTAAATAGATCGATTTACGTCTGAAGCGGTTTAATTTTAACATTTAAAAGTTGTAACGACTTCTTTAAACAGCTTATTATTTTGGTTGCGATTTTTGTTTTAAAATGTTGCAGTTAAGGCTACGTTTTTTATTGGATGAGTTTCATAGTTTCAAATAAATTCTCATACGAAGAAAATACTGAGAAAAGTATGACCACTTAAAACAGTATATTATATTTATATCAACAATGGTTAACTCGGAATGTACCTGCGATAGAGTCCGAGACAGTGATTTGAATACTGAGAGTGCTGAGCTCGTACTCTTGTAGGGACACTGTTATTGAGATCTGGTCCTGTAGGATACAGGGTTACAGGAACAACCACTCAACCAGTCAACTAGTGAGACTGGTATTATTTAACAGTATATTTCATATCGATCATGTTTGCAAAGGATCTATATTAATAATCCCAATAAATGTGTGGGTATGTGTGTATGGGGGGGGGGGGGGGGGGGGGGGGGGGGGGGGTAATGACTACCAATGGAGACTTTTGGGGACTAATGGGGACTAAAAATCGTGGGGACTAGAGGTCAACTCGTTGACGTAATTCACCATTTGTCCCCATAAGTCCCCAGAATTTTTGACAGTTATTTATGGTTTTCAAGTTAGTTTAATAACCTGAGGTACTCTAACAGCCCTCAAGTAGCTCCCAAGAAGTCAGGAATGTCCAGTGACCATTTATAAATATTCTAGACTTCAGTCTTGAGAAGTTTACGATCTGGTCTAGAGAAGCCAGATTTTTTGAAATCTAAATGGGGACTAATGGAGACTAATGGGGACTAAAAATCATGGGGAATTGACGTAATTCCCCAAGTCCCCAAAAGTAGTCATTACCCCCCCCCCCCCCCCCCCGTGTGTATATGTGTACGTGTGTAATTTCCGAACGGCTTAATCAAGAAAACAGTAAGAGTTATTGAACTGGTTTTTTCGGTACAGTTTCGACAACAGTCTGACGAAGCCAAAAAGCAAATTTAAAAAAATCAGCCTTTTGTAAGTGGTTAAATTAATGGTTTTGTACTCCAAATGTGATACTAAAGTGTCTCACTTTTTCTCCCTTTCTCACACTCTCTCACCATTTACAGGGGGTTACACAGTACACTAGTATTTTGTCACCAAGTTGAGATTTATATTATTTAACTTACACTAGCGAGCTGATCGTCCTTGAGGAAATTTCCGAGACTCTTCTTGAACTTCTCGAGATAAAAGCCAGCAGGGGGCCTGAATCTCACTTCAGCTCCTGAAAACGCAGTTAATTAATGAGCGACTGGTACCGGCCACCCACGACAATATCAACTTGAGTTTAAAGTTTTATCACACATCTCGAACAGTATTGAAGATATAGAAGGCTTTTTGCATCGTAATTGTCTTATTTAGCTTTGTCAGTTATTCCAGGCGGTAGTCCAAAGAAAACAAAGCCATGCTATACCCATGCATGCGCGCGCGCAGCGCGCATCGATACTAGCGCCAAGTTCGATTTAACGATACAGGTGCAAGTTGCTAGTAATAAGCAAAATTGGGCCTTCAGAATGTGACGAAGGAACAATGAACATGGTCTTACCAGCTGCGAGTCTAATAACTCATTATCTATTTATTGAAATGACATTGCCTCCACACTCAAAATATTTAGATACATTGATGTTAAACTTAAATTTGATCCTTCGAACAGCTGTTGAGCAATGAAACGCAAACATAATCTTAGCAAAATGAATATATTTCTTTTATCTTCAGCATTTAATCAGTCACATAATCTCAAATTATTTGTTATATAGTAGTGTTGAAAGTATTAAATGTATTAAATGATGTTAAACTAGTTGACTAGTGATAGAAACGTGTGTATTGTTTTAACATTATCTTCTTCAATTAATTACACAAGGGTGAAAGTGTCCCTGAAATGACTTCTTACCGCAATAGTGGCAGCACATCCCTTTTGATTTTATTGGCTTGACACAGTCTCGTCGCGGGCACTCCGACGAACAATCCAACTGAAATAAAGTTCGACATAACATCCCTCCAGAATTTAGCCCTGAGGCGGGAAACATGTCCTGTAATGTAGTGTAAAATGTAAGTCTGAGGCAATCAAGTTACACGCCAGCTCAGAATTAAATTACAACTTTTAACAAGGTACAACTCTATTATTATAGGGACTGTTATAACGGTTTATATATACAGCGTGTTATATCGGTTTAAAACCACTCTGGGTTTTAACAGTAAATACACGACTGGGTAGACAATTTCCCACAAACTCTGTCGCAAACAGTCTTATCTGCACAACAGGAGTCAGCTGAATACCGCCGAATCAGCTAAATGGGAGTTCACAGCTAAGAAATAGTGTGATGGATAGTGATACCCACCCTCACTGACTGGAGTTCACAGCTAAGAAATAGTGTGATGGATAGTGATACCCACCCTCACTGACTGGAGTTCACAGCTAAGAAATAGTGTGATGGATAGTGATACCCACCCTCACTGACAGGAGTTCACAGCTAAGAAATAGTGTGATGGATAGTGATACCCACCCTCACAGACTGGAGTTCACAGCTAAGAAATAGTGTGCCGGATAGTGATACCCACCCTCACTGACTGGAGTTCACAGCTAAGAAATAGTGTGATGGATAGTGATACCCACCCTCACTGACTGGAGTTCACAGCTAAGAAATAGTGTGAGGGATAGTGATACCCAGCCTCACAGACTGGAGTTCACAGCTAAGAAATAGTGTGCCGGATAGTGATACCCACCCTCACTGACAGGAGTTCACAGCTAAGAAATAGTGTGATGGATAGTGATACCCACCCTCACAGACTGGAGTTCACAGCTAAGAAATAGTGTGATGGATAGTGATACCCACCCTCACTGACAGGAGTTCACAGCTAAGAAATAGTGTGAGGGATAGTGATACCCACCCTCACAGACTGGAGTTCACAGCTAAGAAATAGTGTGCCAGATAGTGATACCCACCCTCCCAGACTGGAGTTCACAGCTAAGAAATAGTGTGATGGATAGTGATACCCACCCTCACTGACAGGAGTTCACAGCTAAGAAATAGTGTGATGGATAGTGATACCCACCCTCACTGACAGGAGTTCACAGCTAAGAAATAGTGTGATGGATAGTGATACCCACCCTCACTGACTGGAGTTCACAGCTAAGAAATAGTGTGAGGGATAGTGATACCCAGCCTCACAGACTGGAGTTCACAGCTAAGAAATAGTGTGCCGGATAGTGATACCCACCCTCCCAGACTGGAGTTCACAGCTAAGAAATAGTGTGATGGATAGTGATACCCACCCTCACAGACTGGAGTTCACAGCTAAGAAATAGTGTGATGGATAGTGATACCCACCCTCACTGACAGGAGTTCACAGCTAAGAAATAGTGTGATGGATAGTGATACCCACCCTCACAGACTGGAGTTCACAGCTAAGAAATAGTGTGCCGGATAGTGATACCCACCCTCCCAGACTGGAGTTCACAGCTAAGAAATAGTGTGATGGATAGTGATACCCACCCTCACAGACTGGAGTTCACAGCTAAGAAATAGTGTGATGGATAGTGATACCCACCCTCACAGACTGGAGTTCACAGCTAAGAAATAGTGTGATGGATAGTGATACCCACCCTCACTGACAGGAGTTCACAGCTAAGAAATAGTGTGCCGGATAGTGATACCCACCCTCCCAGACTGGAGTTCACAGCTAAGAAATAGTGTGATGGATAGTGATACCCACCCTCACAGACTGGAGTTCACAGCTAAGAAATAGTGTGATGGATAGTGATACCCACCCTCACTGACAGGAGTTCACAGCTAAGAAATAGTGTGATGGATAGTGATACCCACCCTCACTGACAGGAGTTCACAGCTAAGAAATAGTGTGATGGATAGTGATACCCACCCTCACTGACAGGAGTTCACAGCTAAGAAATAGTGTGATGGATAGTGATACCCACCCTCACTGACAGGAGTTCACAGCTAAGAAATAGTGTGATGGATAGTGATACCCACCCTCACTGACAGGAGTTCACAGCTAAGAAATAGTGTGATGGATAGTGATACCCACCCTCACTGACAGGAGTTCACAGCTAAGAAATAGTGTGATGGATAGTGATACCCACCCTCACTGACAGGAGTTCACAGCTAAGAAATAGTGTGATGGATAGTGATACCCACCCTCACTGACAGGAGTTCACAGCTAAGAAATAGTGTGATGGATAGTGATACCCACCCTCCCAGACTGGAGTTCACAGCTAAGAAATAGTGTGCTGGATAGTGATACCCACCCTCACTGACTGGAGTTCACAGCTAAGAAATAGTGTGATGGATAGTGATACCCACCCTCACAGACTGATGGATAGTGATACCCACCCTCACAGACTGATGGATAGTGATACCCACCCTCACAGACTGATGGATAGTGATACCCACCCTCACAGACTGGTCCGCGTGTGAACGACCGTTTAGCCTGAGGGCTATTGAATATTCTACTAAATAACTCTTAAAGATTTGCACGGTGATTGTACAATGTACACTATATAATGTGTTAAATATACACTCGCCCCCCTAATGTACCGTGTACAACGTACACTATCGATTAGGGTACACTTGATTGGCGGCTAAAGTTTTGACTCCAACAATAGTGCATACGATAATGCAACTGATAAGGATTTAATGTACCTGATTACCACAGAGACATCCCTGATGATTGGTACAGACCGTCCGCCCCGTCACTATCAACTGGGCCAGGTTTATGAACTGCAGTTGTGACCTGCCCGACCCTAGAGCGTAGTCCCTCACATCTTCCGTATCGAGATCTTGTTCTCCTATCTTGAGTGATCCAACTTCAACACTCTTGTCTAGTAGCACGTTGAAGGCTATACTCTGTAGGGGGTTAGATCGTTCAAATTTTAATAGTTAAAGTTAAAGTTATTATCTCTATTTCTGGTGGTGACGAACTGCCCAGTTCAAAGTTCACACGAGACAACTTTTACATATTCTTTTGGAGTAACCCCGACACAGGTAATCACAAAGTCCAAGTTAAACTACCAATATCTTTTTATGTTGACGAATAATGTACAGTAAAAGTAAATAGTAGTAGTAAGTACCGGTGGTAATTTACTCAACATGGAAACATTTCCACCATATTTACATTTAAACCTTTACATTCAATTAACATTTTAAACTCCAAAATATTCACATGATATTTACATTTAAACCTAAGCAGTATTCAGTATGATATTTACATGACATAGTATAAATGTGCGTGAGAAGTTTCTGAATAATGTGCTCGGTCAGTAAGCAGCACAAACATATGCTTGGCAGTCAGATGCTGTCGTGGTGAGCACTTTAAATGATCTTATTTAGATCCTTACGTAATGATCCACACGATCAGAATTAAAATGAGAATTAATATAAGATCAAAGGAATTAAGATGAGAATAAAGATCAGCAATGTTTGGAACATAATAACCTGGATCAACTCAGATAAGAAGTAACGACAATAATGAAAAGTTGTCTTGCAATAATCCAAAGGAAATAGATCAATGAAGGGAACCTGCTAATAGATATTTTAAAGGAAATAGTAGACCTTTACAAATTTTGTGATATTTGGGATAAATGATGTCCAAAATACCCTTTGTCAAATTATATGCCAAATTTCCATAGGTAACGCTATATATTTAAAATGCTTAACATCTAGGTAAAATGTGGTAGCTACCCCACATTATAAGAGTTCACATTACATATAGAGGGTGTGGCTGAGAATACCAGATAAGTTTAGAATGACAAAAATGACACACTAACAGTCAACACGTTGTAACTTGTATATGGGTGAAATGACGTAGTATTAAACCATGCGTAACTAGAAATATGGGAAATATGTCACCTTACTACAATTACTGAAAAATTTGATTCGTCTTAACAAGAATTTGCACGATAGATTCCCAGTTCCACAAGTGGGAAATTCCTGTGTATAAATAAATCTTGGGAAAGTTTACAAATTCACAGTTCGTATTTGAGAAACTGTCAAAACCTCCCCACACGTAACGCATGGTAACGATATGAAGTTCTAGTGATTCCACTTATGCGTACTTTGTGAAGTTCACCAAGGTCGGTATTATGAACTGAATTTAATTATACAGGTAGGACTAAATGTCACATTACGAAACTAGCGTTCTATAACTTTAAAACCTTAGAGTAGACTGTACACTCTAACCTTCCAGTGTAGAGTTAGGGTTAGAGTAAATGTAACTCATGTAAGGGACCCTAACTCTAACACTAACCTACTAATTCTACGTGAAAAGTGTTGTAATATTAGTTGTAAGTACAATACTGTAGAGGGGGCACTGTACCTTTGTATAAACGATACCAGGAGCCATTCTTTTTGTTTGATGAAGGGTTTGCGTGTGGAACATAGTTACTTGTCAGTTTCCAGGGTTAACCAGGTCAGCTGTGAAGATGGAGATGTTAGTGGAACAGGGGGATATGGTCTGGATTAGTGATGTACGGTAAGTATTAGACTAGAAAGTGAAAGGGTTATTTCTGTAAAGCATTGTGAAGTTCTAATCAATTATTTTGTAGGGTCTTATTTGGGGATGCTGGGGTGGATCAGAAACTTACTGATTATTTCAGACATCTGTTCCATCAAGTTGGGATCTATTCCGTCCAGTTTACATCTAATAGCATACATGGGTTGTTGCATGAACTTCTTGGTTAGTCCCTGAAATAACCGTACTGGATAATGGTATGCAAGCATAAATAAAGTAACCGAACTTGATTTGAATAAATATCAATACAATGGCTTTTAATAAATTTCAATACTTGAAGGACTTTATCAAATTTCTTCTCATACAAAAGGTCACTTTATTGTGAATACTGATTATACTGATATCAAATTGCCAAATAAGCGGCCTTAACCCGTGAAAAAAAGTGACCAAAAGTCGACAGTTTGTTTAAAAAAGTGACCCAAAAGGGCACTTTTTCTGCCCAGATGAGTCATCAAAAGTGACGGTCACTTTTACCAGAAGGGGGGCCCTATAAGTACCAATAGCCTATACAAAACTTTACCACCTGTATTAGCACAGTTTCAATGACATCAGTGTTACCGTAGTCCACAAAGAACACCTCGCACCCAGTCCTGGCTACAGACACTATCTTACCCCTGTACCAGGCTTAATAATACTCTTTCTCATGTCGTGACCCAGAAAGTGCTGCTTAGTAGTTATCAAGATTCAGCACGTCTGACTTCGTGACTAGCAGAGAGACTCTATTCTGGTACGGTTATGTTGATTTCGCAAATTAGCTACTTGTGCGGCCCTATGAGTGTAGTTCAGTCTTTTGTTTGAATTACTATTCACTAGCGCTATTCCTATAAACATATACAAAGTCACGGGACTAGTTAGAAACAGAGTCATAGTAACTGAGTCTAGGTGCGGATTGGAGGCAGTGTTAACATCTGACACTCGCAAGGCTATCCGTCTTCGATAATAGTATAGATCACAGAGCACCTCCTCTATAGGTTGTTGGGAGTCAAGCAGTTGTACGTAAAACTCTTCAGGTCCTTCCACGTGACACGGTGACACCTGATAACAAGGTTTATATTACAATCAGACCAGACAGAGAATAATTCATCCAAGCGAGAAGATTCAGCAACAAAATTCACAACCATCGAAAGAAATTGTTACTCACAGAGACTGAGGAACCAATAGCAACTTGGTACATCTGGAATGGACTAGTCTTGGCAGCGTTGAGGTCGTCGACAGCTTCACGGACAGTCTGGTCAGTGGAGGAAGCCCACCCTTTCACTACAACATAGCGTTCACCAGCTGATCTGCTCCGCTCCTGAGATGAAATGATTATCAGTATCACCAGTTAGGTGGAAATGTTCAATATCAGCAGCTTTGTGGCTTCTTGCTTTTTAATAGAGTTTTTCCTCCATAAAACGAATGAAATGATGGACTCGATCTTGGTTTGCAAAATTTAAAATGAGCGTCGGGTAATCATACTTGTTAATTATTACTATGGAATGAGCTCCAAGTTAATCAGTACTAATCAGTAATAAAGTACTAACACATTGCTGTGGAGCATTATCTTCCAGGACCCCCCTCTATCTGATCTGAACTCAGCGATAAACTCGTTCTCCGACACCAGCTCTTTAAAGTACGACATGATTCACTGTTCCAATTGTTGGATTTACAGTTGATGGCATCCAGGGTACATTTCACACCTGCACAAGGAATCATTTATTTGTAATAATAAATTTTATATAAATTCAACTAGTCGCATTGGTTTATAAAAATGAAGTAGAGTCTTAGCAACAGGTAACATATATCCTGTTAGAAACTCTCAACTCTCAACTAGTAATATACACATCACACAATACCATCCACCTCACCACCTACACATCACCATAAGATAAAAACAATTCCAGGACAGTTCACATACCCTGAGCTGGTAGTTTCATGAACTGTTCCCGGAGGAACCTGAGCTGGTCAGGGTCTACAGATCTGACCTCCTTGGTGTCCATCATCACCACCTGGCAACCGTGACAGGACGAGGACAGGATGTAACCTCTCTGCCAGGACGTTTCCAGCAGCACCGCACAACTGAGGAGGCGGAGATACAGTTCTGAGGAACTACTTGAATCAATGTTTTTTGAAATGTCTAAACATTTTTCTGTAAAACTTCCTTATCAAGTATGTGCAAAGTAATACTCACGGCGCGTAAGGAAGAATGTGTTCGTCCTCCATGTAATCCTCTTCGTCTCCTCTCTCGTACACCTGCATCATCCGGTCAGTTAGTTCCTCCAGCTCTTCTCTTTTCGTCAGTATTTGACAAGAGAACTTGCTGGGCGTGTTGGGCTGGTGGACATTCTTAAATCGTATACCTTTTCTTACGACTGAGAGGGTGAGAAGGTTTGTTCAGAATTTCTATCTGGCTGTAATTGAAGTTGAATATGCGAAGGAGTTCTGATTAATTCCGAATATTGTTGTAGCTATTTCCAACAAGTACTGTGGTTTGTCAAACTTCTGATGTTTGAAAGCACCACTGAACCCATACTCACGATAGTTGGTGGTTTGAATCCCGCTCTCACTAATTCAGAATTAGCAGAACTGCTGGAGGGGGAGGACCCGCGCTCCGTTAGGTCTCGTCCTCTGCTGCGAGTGCCCCGTTCTGACTCATCCCGTCGTCCTTTCTGCTCTATTTCTTTACTGCTCTGTCTCGATACTTCGGGTTCCTGAGTAAGATTGATAAAACTTAATTAAGTCTTAACATGATTATTTGGATAGCGCGTATAATGTGGTGACAAACGATTTCTATTTTTGTCAAAACAATAGAAATTAAAACCCCGATTTAGTTCGAGGGGCAATAAAAAAGCAAGGGTAAACCGTAAATCAGGGTTTGAGGAAAATCGGGGTTTTACTGTATTCATCTCTAAAATAAAGTTAAGTATCTTACTCTGGAAGAGTGAGCACGTCGACCTCTGTTTGAGGCAGATGATACAGCCTGCTCAGCTCCTCTCTTCAGCACTCCTCTTCTTTCTAACTCCGCACTGAGGTCACCGTGTTCGTTAGATTAACATTTTGACTTTGAGTTATATTTCAGTAGTTACCCTAGCCTTGGTACAAAATACAAGATTCCAACATCCTACGAACGGGCTTAAATGATAACACCTCAATTGTATAAGATAATGCTAAGGTGAAGGAGCCTGTAGTTTTACCTGACAGGATTTTCGAGGAAGTTAGTGCTACCAGGTTCTACTGAGTACAGTTCCACTTTGTAACGATCTCCAGTTTTGTTCTTTCCTTTGAACACGGCTACAAAGTCTCCCATCCTGCAAACAAAGATCAGATTGTTATTTATTAAATACCTAGAAGCTTGGGGGAGTCTAAGGGTAAGTCGGGCTCCCAGCAGAGAATGTGCATGTTTCATACAAGTATCTGATCTAACTATGAAGTTAACTATGAAGTATGTAACATTCAAACAGGACTGTAGCAAGCTTAATAACAAAGATAAGAACCTGGAGAAGATGAAAGAGATAAGCAACTTATTTGACTTTATTTATTATTTATTATTCAACTTACGCAAGGTAATCCTCGAAAGCTCTGAGAGACCCCTCACTCCATGTTTCACCCTCAGTAGGAGATACGTTATCAAACTCACATCTAATGTAAGACTCGGGGACCACAGCACATGCCTGAGAGAAATAACTGATTATAACGGATTTAGATTGGGAACAAAATCTGCAATGAAAAGGAATGAACCAGATACAAAATGAAATATATCGAAATCATCTAAGATCTTTAAAAACCAACAATCTGAAATCTAATAATTTGATGTCTGTTTGCCATCATACATTTAAGAGCACATAAGGTCTAGATATATATAATAAAATATATAATAATCTCTATATTCTATATTAATTATTCTACATATTCTATATTATTAAATACCTGAGGCAAATATTTGAGTCCAGCAAGCGGGACTAAGTTGATGTTGCCGTAGTCTATGAAGAGCACCTCGGCATCGTTCCGGTCTATGTTAATTATCTTGGCCCGGTAGAACTGTTCCACTCCCACGTCCTCGTAAGGGGCTACACAAGCCATTCCTGAAGACAGCATTCTGGTATTTCCGAGCAAATTTCCATAATTTATAAATAGCTGCTTCAAGTAAAAAGTTAAGGGTGAAAACTGAACACTGATCGGAGCTATAAAAAGATGCTTAAGTATAAACAAGAAGACTAACCTCTTCTGACTTTAGCAGAGGGAATAGAATAGTCCTTGCCACTGTTGTAAGCCTCCATGAGTTTACTATTTGCACCGTCTACTTGGTCAAAGTACTTCTTAAGAAGACACACAAAGTTTCTGGGGTCTGTTGTTATTTCCACTGTTACTTCTTCCATCCTCTGAAAGTAAACAGTTCCATATAATAACCATAAATGCACTGGTTGATGTGACCTGGATCTAAATAATTCTAAAAATATAAAACCGTTTGAATTTGAGATTCTCTCCTGACAGAAGCCAGGAGACAAGTAGTTGGATATTATATGGAGGGGGAGGTCGCAGACTCAGAGTGCCTTTGACTGCGCAACGGGCTGCGCAACCTATTAATATCTTATATATTCGCTACGTGATAATGGAGCAGCTAATTGAGCCATAACGGACACTCAACCTCCATTGTGAATACAGCTTAATATTGTTTCACCAAAAGTTAAGCTGAAAACTCACAGTAAGCTGAGGAGCGGGATATTGTCCCTCAAAAGCATCACTAGGGATCTTAGACTCTCCCCTGGAGCGAGGAGCTCTAGCAACAGCTTGCTGGGGCTGTTGAGCGGCTACTGGGTAGTGGCCTACTGGTTGTTGTGCTGGATAGCTGCTAACACCACCTGCTGGAGAGAAGGGTGGTTAGATTCTGGGTGTTTTGTTTGCTGGAGAGAGGGGTGGTTAGATTCTGGGTGCTTTGTTTGCTGGAGAGAGGGGTGGTTAGATTCTGGGTGTTTTGTTTGCTGGAGAGAAGGGTGGTTAGATTCTGGGTGTTTTGTTTGCTGGAGAGAAGGGTGGTTACTGGTTAGATTCTGGGTGTTTTGTTTGCTGGAGAGAAGGGTGGTTAGATTCTGGGTGTTTTGTTTGCTGGAGAGAGGTGTGGTTAGATTCTGGGTGTTTTGTTTGCTGGAGAGAAGGGTGGTTACTGGTTAGATTCTGGGTGTTTTGTTTGCTGGAGAGAAGGGTGGTTAGATTCTGGGTGTTTTGTTTGCTGGAGAGAAGGCAAGGGTGGTTAGATTCTGGGTGTTTTGTTTGCTGGAGAGAGGGGTGGTTAGGTTCTGGGTGATTTGTTTGCTGGAGAGAGGGGTGGTTAGATTCTGGGTGTTTTGTTTGCTGGAGAGAGGGGTGGTTAGATTCTGGGTGTTTTGTTTGCTGGAGAGAAGGGTGGTTAGATTCTGGGTGTTTTGTTTGCTGGAGAGAGGGGTGGTTAGATTCTGGGTGTTTTGTTTGCTGGAGAGGAGTGGTTAGATTCTGGATGTTTTGTTTGCTGGAGAGAGGGGTGGTTAGATTCTGGGTGTATTGTTTGCTGGAGAGAGGGGTGGTTAGATTCTGGGTGTTTGTTTGCTGGAGAGAGGGGTGGTTAGATTCTGGGTGTTTTGTTTGCACCTCAAGAATAAGGGGCTTTATTAATGTGGTGGTGGTGAGTATTTTTAATGGTAAGTGAGGGAGTTACCTTGTTGCGGTTGCTGTGGTTGTTGTTGAGCTTGAGCAGGGTAGCCCGGTTGTTGACCAGACTGGATAGCACTCATGTAGCTCGCAGCTGACGTCATGAACTGAAATTTATTCTGTTAGTATTTCAGAAGTTTAATGTTGGTGTAAAGGAATATTACCTACGCTGGAGAAAAAATAGTAAATAACCAACATATAATAAAGATTGTCCCCTGAGCCAAAAGTATATAAAGTACAAACTCATAATTGTTCTAAACTCTCCAAAAACTAACACTAGGATTCGCAGCAGCGAGACTGGCCATGCTGCTAGGATAGTTACTAGCTCCATAACCAGCAGCAGTAGCCTGTGACGTCATTCCAGTAGCATGTGACGTCATACCGGGAGCATGTGACGTCATACCGCCACCGTGGGCTGCTGAGTGGCCGTTTAGACCTGAACTACCATTCAGTCCACCTGCAAAACATTTTAAATTTGTCGGTTTAAATTAAGAAATCGTATCAAGACGTTTTGCTTTTTGGAATAATTGTGATAATTGTGGCTTCACTTTAAATTGACGTTAAATAAAGCCCCAACATCTGACAGGTGATAAATAATTTCCCGGTAAATTAAAATCTTTCTTCGCTGATCAATTAATTAATTACGTGATTAGTTGCACTTGATGTTATACCTGAGTTAGCTACGGAGGCGTACTGTTGGGGGTTGTTTTGGTTCAGACTACTCATCATGTCGGACCCTGAGTAGGAGAACATGGCTAAATAGATAGTAAAGTTACCAGCATAGTTACCATAGCAACATTCAACATTTCAACATTGCAGCATTTCAACATTTTAAATTTCCAACTTTTGTTCAAAATGTTCAACTTTTAACATGTTTAATCAGCAATCAATAATATTTTTACTTTACTTTACAATATCGATTAATAATGCTTTGAATAACAGTAAGACGATCGTGAATTTAAATAGGCTGATTTGGTTTTAATTTAGTTATTAATAATCAGTTATTTTAATTGAGTTATTGAATTGGGAGTACACGAGATAATAGTTATCGTACATTAGAGCATGAAACATAAAGAAAATCCAACCATTCTGATAGTTAACATAAAATGGTTAATGTGATTGGGCTATAAATTAAATTAAACTATACAATACTCTCGAAATCACAAAATAAGTTGACTCAACAGGACAAAAATCTGAAAAACAAATACAGCAAAAAAGTTCAGTATAAAACGAAATGGAAGTCAAAATTGAATCTTAAAAAGATTAAATTATTAAAAGTAAAAAACAGATTTAAAATAGCTAAATTAGTCCAAGGCTTAAAATCAAAATTGATCCCAGTCATAGAATTAATTCAATAAATCGATCCAATTAGGTGATGAGGAGGGGATGGGTTGCCCCATTGATGCCCATTTTACCGAAAGTTAAGGAATAATTGTGCAAAATGGGTATCAAATTCATCATTTTTCGGTAAAAATCGAGAAATATATATTTCTGCGCTGAAATGTAGCCGTACTCGTTAATTAGAGGACATGGACAGCGAACACGATGGTGACGTTTATTTTCATCACAACTTAGGTTCTACGTGCTGGAGTAAGGCTGGGGGGTCAAAAAAAGTTGAATCAATTAATTAATTAGTTAATTAATCAATTAATTAGTGACCAATGCTTTATGCAGCAGCCAGCAGATACCTACCCATCTGGTTGAGTTGAGCCTGCATGCCACCGTACGCTGGGAAGTTGTCTGTCACTCTTTTAGCACACTTGTTCGTTATCAAGAGCTCCGTGGTTGTAGGTTTTGTCTCACCTTCAGGGGTTATTATTTGTGAGAATCATTATGTAGGCTATTAAATAGTTAATAGTTAATAGCACTATGTTTACAGTATGCACTGAAGGGGTATCCTAGGAAGTTTCTTGAACTTTTAACAGGTACCCCTCCTCATTTAACCCTCAATTAAGTTTCCTATCATTCGGCTGAGTCGACCGAGGAGATCGCATAGATCCAATGGATCCTTAGCTACTCCCTAGACTAGGTGACACTGGGATTCGAACCCTGAACCTTCTGCGCAGAAGGCGGATGCTCTAACAACTAGGCCACCTAACCTATTCAGTGGACGAGTTTAATGTAGATTTTAAGTAAACTTCGTGCCGTAATTTTGGGCCACCATTGCATGGTGGGGACAGGATTCTGGAATAATGGCAGTTAAATTACCTAACTAAGTTACTGCTCTCTTTAATGCTGTTAGTTTTAGAATTGAGAGAGTTTTAACATTTCACTGCCATGCTGTGTGCACTGTGCAAGTGTAGTGTATTTACAACACTGCACACTACAGGTATATTACTACAGGTATTGGTGTCTCTTTAAATCTTCTTATCAATAAAATGTGTTTTGTGTGTAGTGAGTTAATCAAACTTCCGTTCACTTTGTAATGGAAACCATACTGAATCATACGAATATTTATTCTGAATAAACATTGATTATATCTGTTATTTATTCTTCTATCTCTAAGTTGATCCAGATTAACGGAAAATAAGTTACTATTTTACTTCTTCGGTGGCTATTTAAGTGAGTACTATAGGGATTTAGATTAGGGGGTACTTAAGTGGTTACAATTACAAGGTACAGGGAACAGTTGCTAAGGAACAGTTGCTAAGAAACAGTTGCTAAGGAACAGTTGCTAAGGAACAGTTGCTAAGGAACAGTTGCTAAGGAACAGTTGCTAAGGAACAGTTGCTAAGGAACAGTTGCTAAGGAACAGTTGCTAAGGAACAGTTGCTAAGGAACAGTTGCTAAGGAACAGTTGCTAACAAACCTCCGCCCTGTTCGTCCTGTAGTTCAATGTAGAACCTCTCATCAGCATGTCTGATAAAGTGTGCCATGTGGTAAGCGTTGGAGTCTGTTGCGTACTTGTGGAACCTGTGTAATTGTGATGTGGAGGAAAGTTTGAGAATTGGAAGGTCTTGAGTATAAAAACCACTAAATTTTGTGATTAAACTTGGTTGGAACAGATAACTGTTGGAATAACAAGAACAGCAGCTTAACACGGTGAACTGACCACTGAGTTAGTTGACGAGGGAAGTTGCCGATAGCAGTAGGAGTTGTGGGAGCAATGTTGTTTAGTCCACACCTCACAGCCCAGAAGGGAGTGGTGATCAGGGAACCTTCGAGTGGGTAGATCGCTTTAGCTGTTACCAGTTGTACGTTACCGAAATCTTTTAGGATCACCAGAATGTAGCCTGGGGGATAAAGGTGTTGTTAAACGTGCATGGATATTTATGAGAAATTGTGTAAACTTCGTCACGTTACAAATCCAGCATTAGAAACATTCAATAACGAAAGTTCTCTTTTTGTAGACCCAGTTACACAATGAAACCAGCAGTTTTCTATTCGGACTCACCATTGGAAAGGACTTGTTTGATTTCAGCTCTGAACCAGTCAGATCCCAGCTGTACACAGCACAACATTCCGATATTGATCATTTGAGCAGGGCTGGGCACGTTTGCGGAGTACATGCTCTTTATTGCGGTCATCATACTGGAAATAAAGGAGCTTATTAAGGAGCTTATTAGTAGGTTATTGAGGCTAATGGGTTATTTTGTGGTCGCTCTACCAAGTAAAATACATGAGATTTGCCTATTTCCGACTAAAACACAACAGATCACAAACACTAACCTGCCGATATTCTTCTCTGTAGCGCGGTACTGAACGTAGAAATCAGTCAGATCACTGATGTGACTGACAATAACAGCGTTCCTTTCACCCAGCTTAGGTTGGATAGTTCCCGGGTCTTTGGTGTTGGGAGCGGAAGGGATGATGGTGGGTGTACCCAGCTGTGGGGTTGGGGGTTTAAAGTTTGCGGTAAACTAATATTGAACACTCTATCAGCGCATCGTGTGGATGATTTGATAAAACGTGATTAAACACGAGTCACGAACTTCTAATTTCTAAACCCACTGAGTAAGACTAATAGAGCTCTGCAGCTCTACAGTACCTGATGTAGAAGTATATTCTGTCGGACACTGTGTAACTCAGGCGTCACTAGATCCACCCACAAATCACTAGTAACCGGGGAGATGGAGTAAGCCTTTACTGTCACCTTCCTGTTTACCAGGATCTCTCTGAAATACTGTACGGAGTGTGGGGATCTGTTCGGCAGAGCTTTTACTCCTGCCATAGCGCACATCATGGACTGCTCCTGCAGTACTTCTATACCTGGTGAGGTGGTAGGTGTTAGTACAGACAAGGAGATATTATTTGTGAACATCAACAAATCGTGCAGATCTGACCTGAGCAGCTGATTCACATGAACCAACTAACTGACTGACTTATAAGATTCATCAGAATAAGAAACGCAACTATCATAATTAAAGAAGTATTGTAATAATTAAAAATTTTGAGTGTACGTTATGAACAAGATGAAGCTACATACCTAGCTCGTAAGGGAGCGAGTAGAGGGCAGATTCAGGGACTTGTTCATCACTACCGTAGTCTATCAGCTGGATATAAGCCAGGGAATGGTGGATATCCTGCTTCAGACGGGCTCTCTTCCAACCTCCTGGAGATAATAGTTGATGACACTTGATTAGTAAATGATTACTAGTTATAAATTCAATCATTACTGTAGTTAAACTGTAACCAGTTAAACTACCAGATATTTCCAATTGTTGTAAAATTGTCCTGCACATTGCAATGCTTAAATGTCATGTTCAAACTTCCAGTTTGTGTTAAAATCTGTAGAACTGTACTGTGGAATATAGTCCAGTCATTTATGGACATTTATGGAAATGAACCTGCAAATTTTCAGATACTCACAAAACTTTGCACAGACCTTCCCAAAGCTATGAATAAACAATTTTCGGTTGGAGACATTTTTTTACCGTGGGGAAAACCCAGGAGGGCCACGCCCATATTGACCCAATAACGTAACTGACCCCTTGCTTCTGAAGGTCGTAGAGACTTCAAAATAGGCTTAAACGAAGCCGCATATGCATGTTTATATAAGAGTTATTGATCAACACATGGCCTAAAATCCTTACTTTTCGAGAAATTCACCAAAAACCATTTTGCGCGTGGCGCTGAGCCCATTTTACTAACTTTTGATAGGATTGTGATAGAGTCTTTGAATATAGTGCAAAAGAACCGTAATTGGCATATTTATATATGACTTACGAAGAAACATATGCCTTAAAGAGCTTACTTTTTCAGTTATTGGCGAAAAACTGATTTTCGGTTCCAGAAATCATGCAAAAATATGGGTATCTGGTAAATTGGGCTATAAAGGCCCAAGAGATTTTTGAATGAGTGCAAATTGTGCAGAATGGCCATGTTTATATACAACTTATGAAGCAATATGAACCCTAAAATGCTTACTTTTCGAGTTATTTGGGGGAAAAACAGAGAAGATTTGCACAAAATAGAGCAAAATTGGTTATATCAGCCATTTTTGCCTCCCGTTCTATGTTAATAACTCGAAAAGTAAGCATTTTAGGGTGCATATTGCTTCATAAGTTGTATATAAACATGGCCATTCTGCACAATTTGCACTCATTCAAAAATCTCTAGGGCCTTTATAGCCCAATTTACCAGATACCCATATTTTTGCATGATTTCTGGAACCGAAAATCAGTTTATCGCCAATAACTGAAAAAGTAAGCACTTTAAGGCATATGTTTCTTCGTAAGTCATATATAAATATGCCAATTGCGGTTCTTTTGCACTATATTCAAAGACTCTATCACAATCCTATCAAAAGTTAGTAAAATGGGCTTAGCGCCACGTCCAAAATGGTTTTTGGCGAATTTCTCGAAAAGTAAGGATTTTAGGCCATGTGTTGATCAATAACTCTTATGTAAACATGCATATGCGGCTTCGTTTAAGCCTATTTTGAAGTCTCTACGACCTTCAGAAGCAAGGGGTCAGTTACGTTATTGGGTCAATATGGGCGTGGCCCTCCTGGGTTTTCCCCACGGTAAAAAAAAAGTCTCCAACCGAAAATTGTTTATTCATACCTTTGGGAAGGTCTGTGCAAGGTTGTGTGAGTATCTGAAGATTTGCAGGCAGCTGTCCTTAAATGACTGGACTAATAAAGGACTCACGTTCGTTTAGTTTGACGCTGACATAATCATCAGATTTAGGGGTTTTACCAGTCCCTGAGATTGGTTTAGCACTGCTTCCTAGCGCACTTTCTATAACAGCTAATTTCTTTCTATCCTCGTTGTTATATAACGGCTGTACCCAGAATCTGAGGATGGGAAAGGGTGACTATGAGATAGGAAGAGTGTTTGTTATGATCACTTGAAAATAACAATCTCAGTGCATATCAGTGCGGCCTGGGGAACGTGAATTTATTTTCTGGTCATAATTCATATGCAATATTTCATTTGCTTTCTTACAAGGTATAACGCGGAACTCACTTGTCGATATCAATGATATGAGTAACCAGGGCTTCGAACGAGTGTGAGGGTTGCGGTTCCTCTCCCATTCTACAGCTAGGGACATAAATATTAAGGGGTCATAATTGTATTTTACAAATAAAGTCAAAACAGCAGGTGTTGATATAAAATCCAATGTTGTTTGAATAATATACAGCATCAAGGATGAGCACAATGCGGATTTTTGTCCTTACGGTAGTAATCAGGCCGGCTCTATGGATTGATCACATATTACTATGTATTTTCAAAGGACAAAGTGAGAGTTAAAAACACTATGATTGTATGAAAAGGAAAATGTTGTACATCACAATAATTATATCAGCTACTAGCTCTTATAAACAAAAACGTAAAATACATAACCAAAAATCAATAACACGCAAAGATTGTCGCTTCGAAAAGGAAGCCAATAATATTATGAAACTGAATGCTATCATAGCAATATGCTATAAGCACATGAATTCTAAACAATTTTAGTAATCTGTGTAATTTATACAATCTATGTAAAACGGTTAATGCGATTTGTGTGTTTAAGAAATAGAGGTGTTCATTATTATAATTTCTAGTGTTATTAATTTCTAATTTGTACCCATTAACCGGCTAAAAACAATTATGAATCTAAAAGTGGATGACTGGTCGGAGAGCTTTTCCCTGGTGCATAAGTTCGAAAGCTTCATTAATTTGGTCTAGAGGTAGCCGCTGAGTTATGAACTCGTTCACCTGAAAATATTAACATAAATAATTATAATAATAATTAGGGGGGGGGGGGGGGTCCAAGGGGAACTTTGGGGAATTTTGGGAAGCCTTTTTTTGGGGAACTTCAGGAAACCTGGGGGACTTTCCCAAAATTCCCCAAAAAAATTATCATGCCAAAAAAATTATCATGCTGCAAGTATCAACAAGTAAGTTAAGATTCAATACCTTATAATAACATACATGTTAACATTAATGGGTATTAATGTATATTAGAGAAATTTTGAATAATTTTGGGGAGTTTTAGGGAGATTTGGGGAACTTTTTTTTGGGGAACTTCAGAAATCTTGGGGGACTTTCCCAAAGTTCCCCAAAGTTCCCCTTTGGACCCCCCCCCCCCCCCCCCCTAATTAGACAGAAAATAATTATAAATGAATGTCCACAAAACCAGCTCGACTAAATAATATAAATTCTATCATTACCTTCATCTTGCCGGACAGGAAGTCCTCGACCAGTCGGGGAACATCGTCTCTGCTCTTCCAGCCCCCTTTGATCTCTTTCTTCGATGTTTCATCTACGAACTTTTGGTAGTAAGCTACGAGAGATTTAGAGATGGACTGTCGGATAGCGTACACCCGGGCAGTTGCTCCACCACCTCGAACTCTAATCCTGATGTCGACACCCTCGAATCTCTTAGGACGGGCTCCAACACTTTGTATCTGAGGGCAGAAGGTTCCAGAAGATCGATAGGTACTCCGTTTACTTTGATCATACCATTTCCTTCTTTGGTGTATGCCACTGCCGTGGCGGTCTTCTTGCAACCAAACACTTGCACTGATTTGACCAATAACTGGAAATAACATTGGAACTCGTTCAAAGAAATATCGGCCCAATGTCTCATCATCTCCAGGAGCAAGACAGGAATTCAGAGGTGGATAAAGTTTAACAGCATCGTGGTAGTGCTGCTGCAAATTCCGGATGAGTCGCATCAAACAGTTGAAAATGTCTGGTACAGACGATTGAGGGAGCCTCACCTGATTAAAGAGTCTGTTTCTTCTCAATCTTTCTCTGTACAACTCATCATTATATTCCATAACCTCAGGGATAGGACACCCATGTGCAAAACTCTCCAAGCTGCTCCATATATTTTCCATGGATGATATCATGCTTTCGTTTTGATATCGATCTTTGAAAGTGTTGAAAAATTGTTCATTACACTTCATTCTCTCACTATATGACCAAAAAAACGGGTGTTTTAATATCTCAGTTGTGTTAGGACGTGAACTGATAACACCACTTATGCAGGTGTCAACAAGCATATCAGCCAATATGGAGTCTCCCAGGTAATCGTAATCTAGAGGAGAATAGAATATGTCGTCACCTGGCCGGTTTAAAGTCGAGCTTATATACGAGTATCTTTTTGCTTTCTTTATAAACCTGTTTCTGTGCTCATCAGATCCAAATGGATGGATTTGCTGCTTATTTCGTCCCTCAGACAGCACATAATGTACAATACATCCATATGCAAACACGTCAATGGCTGGAGTCAACTTCATTGACCCATTAAGGACCTCTCTGGCCATCCAACCATGAGTGCCAACAGCAGCTTGTGACACAGACAATTTCTCTTTCCCATCTTTCATCTTCCTTGTAAGCTCTAACTCACAGATAACAGCTTTGTATCCATAAGTCATAACGGTTATCACTATCATCACGTACAAGTATATTCTGAGGTTTAAGATCCCTATGTAGATAGCTTTGACTGTGAATATAACGAAGACCACAAGCTATACCGAACAAGAGATTTTTCTTGAAGCCCCAATCGTCACAAGCCGTCATATTTGGCACGGGCACCTGGACCTCCGAATTTCTTGGGTTCGCATCTTCTGGGATCGGCCACCAACATTTACTTATCGTAATTCAGAAGGATATCTTTGATCTCTTTCTTCGATGTTTCGTCTACGAACTTTTGGTAGTAAGCTACGAGAGATTTAGAGATGGACTGTCGGATAGCGTACACTCGGGCAGTTGCTCCACCACCTCGAACTCTGATCCTGATGTCGACACCCTCGAATCTCTTCTTTCCGAGAAGTAGGACGGGCTCCAACACTTTGTATCTGAGGGCAGAAGGTTCCAGAAGATCGATAGGTACTCCGTTTACTTTGATCATACCATTTCCTTCTTTGGTGTATGCAACTGCCGTGGCGGTCTTCTTGCGACCAAACACTTGCACTGATTTGACCATCGTCTCTCGGCTCAAATTATTTGTTATCCAAATATATTAGTATGCCGGCGCTACTATCTTCATACAATCTGGCAAACATGTATATAACTGGAAATAACATAGGAACTCTCTCAAAGAAATATCGGCCCAATGTCTCATCATCTCCAGAAGCAAGACATGAACTCAGAGGTGGATAAAGTTTAACAGCATCGTGGTAGTGCTGCTGCAAATTCCGGATGAGTCGCATCAAACAGTTGAAAATGTCTGGTACAGACGATTGAGGGAGCCTCACCTGATTAAAGAGTCTGTTTCTTCTCAATCTTTCTCTGTACAACTCATCATTATATTCCATAACCTCAGGGATAGGACACCCATGTGCAAAACTCTCCAAGCTGCTCCATATATTTTCCATGGATGATATCATGCTTTCGTTTTGATATCGATCTTTGAAAGTGTTGAAAAATTGTTCATTACACTTCATTCTCTCACTATATGACCAAAAAAACGGGTGTTTTAATATCTCAGTTGTGTTAGGACGTGAACTGATAACACCACTTATGCAGGTGTCAACAAGCATATCAGCCAATATGGAGTCTCCCAGGTAATCGTAATCTAGAGGAGAATAGAATATGTCGTCACCTGGCCGGTTTAAAGTCGAGCTTATATACGAGTATCTTTTTGCTTTCTTTATAAACCTGTTTCTGTGCTCATCAGATCCAAATGGATGGATTTGCTGCTTATTTCGTCCCTCAGACAGCACATAATGTACAATACATCCATATGCAAACACGTCAATGGCTGGAGTCAACTTCATTGACCCATTAAGGACCTCTCTGGCCATCCAACCATGAGTGCCAACAGCAGCTTGTGACACAGACAATTTCTCTTTCCCATCTTTCATCTTCCTTGTAAGCTCTAACTCACAGATAACAGCTTTGTATCCATAAGTCATAACGGTTATCACTATCATCACGTACAAGTATATTCTGAGGTTTAAGATCCCTATGTAGATAGCTTTGACTGTGAATATAACGAAGACCACAAGCTATACCGAACAAGAGATTTTTCTTGAAGCCCCAATCGTCACAAGCTGTCATATTTGGCACGGGCACCTGGACCTCCGAATTTCTTGGGTTCGCATCTTCTGGGATCGGCCACCAACATTTACTTATCGTAATTCAGAAGGATATCTTTGATCTCTTTCTTCGATGTTTCGTCTACGAACTTTTGGTAGTAAGCTACGAGAGATTTAGAGATGGACTGTCGGATAGCGTACACTCGGGCAGTTGCTCCACCACCTCGAACTCTGATCCTGATGTCGACACCCTCGAATCTCTTCTTTCCGAGAAGTAGGACGGGCTCCAACACTTTGTATCTGAGGGCAGAAGGTTCCAGAAGATCGATAGGTACTCCGTTTACTTTGATCATACCATTTCCTTCTTTGGTGTATGCAACTGCCGTGGCGGTCTTCTTGCGACCAAACACTTGCACTGATTTGACCATCGTCTCTCGGCTCAAATTATTTGTTATCCAAATATATTAGTATGCCGGCGCTACTATCTTCATACAATCTGGCAAACATGTATATAACTGGAAATAACATAGGAACTCTCTCAAAGAAATATCGGCCCAATGTCTCATCATCTCCAGAAGCAAGACATGAATTCAGAGGTGGATGAAATTTTACAGCGTCGTGGTAGTGCTGCTGCAAATTGCGGATAAGTCGGATCAAACAGTTGAAAATTTCTGATGAAGCCGAAATAGAAAATCTTTTTCTTTTTCTTTTGAGTCTTTCTCTGTACAAATCATGATATTTCAAAACCTCAGGGATAGGACACCCATGTGCAAAACTCTCCAAGCTACTCCATATATTTTCCATGGATGATATCATGCTTTCGCTTTGATATCGATCTTTGAAAGTGTTGAAAAATTGTTCATTACACTTCATTCTCTCACTATATGACCAGAAAAACGGATGTTTCAATTTCTCAGCGGTGGGAGGACGGGCAATGATAACACCACTAATGCAGGTATTCACAAGCATGTCAGCCAATATGGAGTCTCCCAGGTGATCGTAATCTAGAGAAGAATAGAACATGCCGTCATGTGGCCGATTTAAAGTCGAGCTTATATACGAGTATTTTCTCAATCAACGAAATATAACACTGATAAAATTTGACAATTGAACAATTCATCGAATAAATAATCTGAAATAATTGAAGAAAAATAAACGAAATTTATAACGTTGAATAAATGAATTATAAATGCCCTTCTTAAAAGGATCTACTGCTAAAATTATGTCCCACTCAAGTTTACAATTCACGATGATTGCTTTTGAGATTCATTAGAGTGGAGAGTTGCAGCTGATAGATCTTCCGTCTTACTTCAATGGTTTTCTCCGGAGAATTGCATTGACATAATCATCAGATTTAGGGGTTTTACCGGTCCCTGAGATTGGTTTAGCACTGCTTCCTAGCGCACTTTCTATAACAGCTAA